TAACCTAAGCTCTCTAAAATATATTTACACAAAAGCAACGCCACTGAGTTAAGACAACGTAAGCCAACTTAAACGATACATTTCAAGCCTCAGGACCAACTGAATTATACTTGAATTATACGGTCTCCTGTCCTCCTCGAGGCCACTAGTGCTAGTGGCGCTTAGGTAAACTTGTGGCAACTTTAAAATAGGCAGGCTCGGGTGTGCGACCATACTTATGTGGCAACTTTCGCTGTCTCTTCAACCAAAATGGCAAAAATCTCGACCATTCTGATGGTTTTAGTTTTCGTCGGCTTTCTTTATAAGTTAAGTATAACACCTAGTCAGTCTCCCTCGTCTATCTTGTCCTTACAGGCGTTGTAAAGTCGTATACCTAGACAATTTGTCAGTTTCGCTCTTGTTAAACGGACACGTTCGAAGTTTTAAGGTTCAGGAAGCCGGAAGAGCTTCCCGGTCGCGAACCTGGCGTCTGGGTTCACCATCTTGGGCGACAGGTTCACCACCTTGGGAGACAAGTGACTCAAGAAGTGTTCACCTCCTTCTCCCACACTCGTGTATGCCCCGCGGAGCCATACAAGTCAATAGAACCTGATGCCCCAAAATACAAATGGGACCCTCCGACACCCCCAACGTGTGAGTCTACACACTTACCGCATTATGGAACAGTACTTCATTCTCACACCTACGAGCTATCTTAAACATAACACCCCCCACATAAGTACAGGATACTCAACTTTTCATACTTTTTCTTATGCACGTACAGTGGCCTCAGTATTAGGCCGTCAGGGCACACACACACACTTCACTACACTGACGAAATGAACCTATTTACATCCCAACAATTGAACCTGAGGTTAACACCAACAGAAAAGCCATGGAGGAATTATTTTCACGTCTTTATACTCCAACTATGGATATTTCTGACACTAACAGCCAAAGAAATCACACTATGGCAGGGCACTTCGCACGATACAACGTAAATTCCCCCGGCCACGTGAACTGAGCTTCAGTTGCCATACTGCAAAAAGCCGTGTTTCCCGCGTGAAATTTTGTATACAGTAGCGAGGCTACTCACCCCGCCATACTGACCTACAGCAGACGCCTCGCAGAGCTTTGCTGATGTAGCTAATGCTAGTGCCGAGCTCTAGGTACACCTGGGACTATTAAGTGTGTAAGAGTGAATTAAGTATCAGGAAAGTGATACTGGAAATGACACAGGAAAGTCACCAGTCAGGTACCATAGGTGGCACCATGCTGTCAGGTAATGGCCACAGCGCTGCCAGGCGTACCTGCAGTTTATACACACCGCTCTACTAGCTATTAAATACTACGTTACGTTGTCTGTGTATTTTTTTGTTTATCGCCCTGGACTCAGAAGGTGTGTTGTGTACACTGAGGTCTTACACACGTGACAAGGAATATACATTTGGCAAGTAATCTCAGCTTGGATTGTGACTTCGAAAACAGGCGCGTTCTTATCAGTGACTGGAGGAGAGAGGCTTGGCTCCTTGGGCCCCGCCTCTCAGCAGAGGGTCTACATGCATGCATACACGGTGTCTGAATTATTACTATTAATGCTGGATTATGACTGGAGTCCCTTCTGCTGTGTGACTGAAGTGCAGCTCTGGGGTGAGTGCTGTGTGCAGCTGTGAACCTGTCCAGGCGACACTCGAGGTATGGCGACGGCCTCCTTAGACATGGCCTCCTTAGACACCGTCATGCTCGAGGCCATGACAGCGTCACACCGTCATGCTCGAGGCCATGACAGCGTCACACAGTGATGCTCGAGGCCATGACAGCGTCACACCGTCATGCTCGTGTAACGGCTGATTCCCTCCTTCCCTCCCCTTTGCCCATTTGTCAAGGGCCAAGAGGTTGACCTGAGGGTGGTCTTGCTAGCTTGGTCCTCTCGGTGCCTATGGTCCTCCACTCCATTCCCCACCGAATTCCCTCTCCATCCACCTCTCATCGGTTGCCCACCATACCAGGCGAGTCAGATGTCCCTACTACCTTTTATCTTAGAAGAGACAGGTTTGAACATAATTTATCAGTTTCCGTAAACATTGCTCTCATGTGCCCCAGGCTCGGGTGGTCCACTACAGAGGCACCGTGTCCCCTTCTAATAGCTGGGGAGAGCTGAATCTATCTTCGAGAATTTCATGAACCTTCAGACAGATCGTGGAAGGTGATGGGCGGTAGATAAGTGCCAAGTCCTTATTGGCCCTGGAGAGCCAGACCTCAGGCATAGTTTTAAATGGTTGGCTGTAGCCAAAAATAATGGGTGGAGCCCTGGGGGCTGTATTAGATTGTGGGAGGAGCAATCCTTCCACCGGTAAGCTGGTGAAACAAAATTTCAGTAGTGTGTTCTGGGAGTGATTGGGGGTGGGAACTCTGTCCAGCATCAAAGGGGCTGAGGGCAGCCATCGGCATCTTGGCCAAAGTGCGGTTTTAAGGTATTGTGCACTTGAGTATTCATGTCCTCGTAGATATCCATTTTGCCTCTTAGGGATCATAGAGTAGGGTATATGTTCATTTGATTTCAATATGTGTGTTAAATAAAATAGTTATTAATTGGTTTTTGTCGTTTAGTTATCTCTGTCCCTTTTGTTATTAATGTTGAGCAGTTTCTATATGCAGTATATATATGGTGGTATTTGGAAATCCCCCCCTGTTCTCCTCCATTTAATGGATATTAAAGTTGCCCTTGGACCTAAAGTAAATTAAATTAAAGTAAAAGTAGATTAAAGTAAAGAACAAAGTAAATTAACCAAACTAATTCCCAAGATTTATTAACGAAATTCCTATTGCCCGGGAGTCCATGATTACTGATCCCTTGCCTTCCTGGGGGATCGCTGACAGACACATTCAGGTATGTTAGATCGGGAAGGTGGTGGCAGTGTTTTTAATGAGTTTAATTATTAGTCTTAAATTAATAACCCTATTTTTGCCAGTTCCTCCTCATTTAATATTTCAGCTTATATTCGTGGCAGCTCAGTGAGGGGTCATACTGAGCTGTAGCCGTGTTAAGCTGGGGTATTGAGTGGAGAGGAAGGGTAGAGAGAAGATCGGGTCATTATACTCGAGGCCATGACAGCGTCACACCGTCATGCTCGAGGCCATGACAGCGTCACACCGTCATGCTCGAGGCCATGACAGTGTCACACCGTCATGCTCGAGGCCATGACAGCGTCACACCGTCATGCTCGAGGCCATGACAGCGTCACACCGTCATGCTCGAGGCCATGACAGCGTCACACCGTCATGCTCGAGGCCATGACAGTGTCACACGGACCCATTACAGTTAACGTATACAGTGCGGCCAACAACCTCAGCACCTGACACACAATAATGACACAGGGAGTCAGGGGATGTCATTATATTAAGTATTCATTCATTCATCATCTAAACATATTCCATTTACAATGACAATTTTAACACGTTATTCTATGTCTTAGATTCTTAAAATATGCATTAAAAACCTACAGTGGCGTATCCGTACCTTCAGGACGAGGGATTTAGTGCCGTCGTGACGGCTGTAATAAGGGTCAGTGTCGCTCTTGTTCTGGAGGCTGTTGGGGGGGGGGGGGTACATGGTACACCTCCACTACCTGAAGGACTGAGTACAAGTGTGTGTGTGTGTGTGTGTGTGTGTGTGTGTGTGTGTGTGTGTGTGTGTGTGTGTGTGTGTGTGTGTGTGTGTGTGTGTGTGTGTGTGTGTGTGTGGCGTTATCCTCGCCCTTGTCACCACCTGCAGCGAGGCTCATCGTTGCTGGCGCTACAGCGGGGGACCCGCACAGTAGACTAGTTAGGGGATGAGGACGTGCGCCTTCAATAATGACACGCTTCACTTGTGGCGCCCTGCTAGCCACGCACTCTATAGTGAGTGCTGGCGCGCTCTCACGCTTGGTGAGAGCGCCACACTCACAGACTGAGAGCTGCCAGTGTGGCACACTGAGAGCTGCCAGTGTAGCACACTGAGAGCTGCCACACTCACTAAAGAGGCAAGTGCCTTTCGGGATCGGTGTGCCTCTTTTAGGTCGGTCTAATGTGTGAAGATTGCCGTGTCAACTTCACTCTTCATGTCTTGACAGATCAATCTTAACAATGTTACCTTAAGAAAATAGGTTTAACAGGTCAGTTTGACAATGTATAATAGGAGTCGGTTGAAAAAAAAACCAGGATAGTCTCTCCAGTGTAGGTTATAACAATCTAGCGTCATTAAAAATTGTGTTAACATTCTAGCCGTGGACAATGTTTAACAAGATGGGGGGGGGGGGGTTTAACAAGATAGTTCAGAGTCTATCAGATATCAGTCTTTTTGGGCGGGTCGTGATAATGTCGTTTGTACAGAATAATTTTAGCCCATCTTGGTCTTAAGACACGGAGTTACACAATGCTGTCATGATGAACATATCAGGCAACACAGTTAGGACTCTACTCTTAACCCATAAACTACTGCCTATGTTATATGACATATTTGGGGTTCACCAGAGGTAAATGCGGCTTACATCGTGACATTTTTTTGTAAACTATAGAAATGTATGAGAATTGACCTCTTTTTTTTTTGCACATAAATTCATATAGTTACCAATATTTTACATATCTCTGGCTATTATTACCTACTAAAATGATAAATCTTGTATTGTACACAAAAAATATATTAATTACAAGAATTTTAGAGCATGTGACACTATAGTGGTGCATGGGGGGTAATTATCAAAATTTCAGGAACTGATACTGATATTAGAGTTTAACATAACAATCTGTATAACCAAGGAAATGTGCGTTTTTTTAACGCATTTGCAAAGTAAGAACTTGTAAAATTAATTTTATTGGGGAAATATGTTAAGAATTGTGCAGTGATGAACCAGGGTTGAGAGAATGGCGCACTCCAAGGGTTAAGCAGTTCTCAGCCCGACCTGAAATTTGACGACACACAGTATACACTCAACATATATATATATATATATATATATATATATATATATATATATATATATATATATATATATATATATATATATATATATATATATATATATAAGGAGCATGTGCAGCTAAGGAAGGTACACACCTTGCTTACACCAGTTGTTGGATCTCAAATGCGTTTGTGTCCACAATTTTGAGCTGTGTGTCTACAGGAGTCGTCGACCTGAGAGAGACTTGAACCCATTGCTGCACGAGTCATAGTGCGCTCTGCACCTCACCGTTCACCGCCATTCAACTCAATAATACATACAAACAAATAAAACTCTACAAAAAAAAGAGGATTTTCATAAAAAAACAAAACAAAAAAAAAACTAAAATATAACAATAAAATTCGTCGCTTTTCCTAAGAGCGACTGGTGCCTCCCGCTCTGGCCCAGGAACTCGTGCCCTCCCGCTCTGCCTCGGGAACTGGGAAACCTTTCGCGCCATCAGATAAGTGCCAAAACATACTTATACGGTGAATTATAAGTGCAGCCTCCCGAAAGAGTCGTTTTTTAACAGTGCTAAATCAGAATATTACTATTAACACTACACTTGGACAGTGTAGTGTGTTAGAACATTAACTTTATTTTTTTTTTGCTTTTTGAACTTTTGAACAGTGGTAAATTTTGTCATTGGCAACTATCTCGCGAGTTATGTAGACGGTTTCTCGGATTTTGTGACGTGGTTTTTGGATACTCTTGCGAACTCCTGAGTAACCGACTTGAGTGCATGACGCCACGGCGCCCCAGCCGTTCCACCCCACCCACCACGACCCACCACCTGCTTCAGAAGTTGGTCTCTTCAGGAGTGCGAGAGGGTCTGAAGGGCACAGCCTCCTCAGGCAGGAGTCTGGCCACGGCGGTGGTGGTGGCGGTGGAGGGGGGCGGCTGGGGGGTCAGGGGCGCGGCGACCCCTCCCTGCGTGAGGGTAGGGGGGCAAGTGGGCCAGGCGGGGGCGGATTGTCACACATAACTCTCCGTTCTGCGGCCGAAGCAGCGGTTGTAGCAGTTCTTCCAGACGGCCAGAGTCTTGCTGCTCCACACCCAGAAGCCCGAGGTGATCCCGACCACCAGGGTGCTCAGGTACTTCACCATGAAGAAGATAAAGTCCGGCTTGGAGAGCGGCGTGTCGTGGTCGACGCCGGCGGGACAGTTTATGCTGTAGGTGACCCACGGCTCCTCGCGGGACCCACATTTCTCCCGCTGCCACGCCACCATCCACTCGTCGTGGTAGGCCTGCTCGTAGAAGAGACAGGCCACCAGGGCCGTGGCGGGGACGGTGTACAACACGCTGAACACCCCGATGCGAACCATGAACCGCTCCAGCTTGTCGGTCTTCGTGCCGTCGTGCTTCATGATGGTTCGGATCCTGAAGAGGGAGACGAAGCCCGTGAGGAGGAAAGCCGTTCCCATCACCAGGTAGAAGAAGAGAGGCGCCAACACGAACCACTGCAGCGCCTTCACGTTCCACAGCCCCACGAAGCACACTCCGGTCATCACGTCTCCTGAAGCACAAGACAATCACCATTACACGCTGACAACCGACACAGACCTGACACTACAAACTCTTGATTACTGACATATTAATTAAGAATATATATTCCACAATATGTGCACAGGAGATTTTGTGTACACATTTAGAACACAAGACACCTAGCCTGCAAGAATACTGAACAGTATTGTAATTGAGTTACACACGATGAGTGGAGGCACATACTTATCTCAAATGCATAAAAAAACAGATACATAACAATTATATATCAATAGATACCAATCGGTAAAGGAAATATAGCAACTAGGCTATATGATTGTATGTTTAGGCACTTAGAATAAACTAACAAAACTTTGAATTCCTAAAAGAAGTTGATAAAGGTTGATAAATTACAAGAATGACAAAAATGTTTTTTAATAAGATTGTTTTTTATAAAAATATATGTTTTTTTTTAATAACAAAATATTCACAATCTCGTGGCCTAAAAAAACAATGCAGTCCACAACCATAAAATATTAGCTATACAAAACACTGCATGATTTGGGCCGCCCCATATCTTAGTACCATGGGGATGGTAAGGCACTTCCAAAGATACAAACTGCATGTTTAGATTTCGAAAAAATGGGTAAATACTAGTATAGTAATGGGTCTTATTTTTTGGGTGGGGGAGGGGGAGGGCTTTTTGTCTCCTTAAAACAATTAAACGACACATTGTCGTTTAATTGTTTCAATGAGAACAATGTGAGGAATGGTTGGGGTAGAATTGGGTGAGGACAGTGCCTCCCTCAACAGCTGTAAGGTGGGTAGTTATCCCTGAATAACTAAAGTGGAACCTAATTAAAAGATGGAGCTGGTAATAGAGGGGCCTCGGTGTGTCCTCACCAGGCGCCATGGTGGCATGATCTCTGGGGTGACGGTGCACCCCCCCCCCTCCCGTCCTTCCTGCCACACGGCTAATGGGGCGAGGGGAAAGGTGTAAATTAGGGAAGGTGCATGAGGGAACGTTGGGACGCTGCCACGGAGGAGAGAGAGAGGGGGAAGGGGAGGGGGAAATGATGGTGACTACCTCACTCTCTCCAGACCTCACACTTCACACACTCTCTCTACCTCACACTCCAGTTGCATTCTTCCCTCACGGCTCACTCTTTCCCCCCTCACGCCTCACTCTTTCCCCTCACACACTCCATCTCATATCTGCTTATTATTTCACATCCCTTCGTTCTTGCCTACCTCCCCATTTGCTTGACTGCCTGCCTGCTTATCAACTTGCTTGCCTGCCTTCTTATCTACTTGCCTGCCTTCTTATCTACTTGCTTGCCTTCGTATCTACTTGCCTACCTTCTTATCTACTTGCCTGCCTTCTTATCTACTTGCCTACCTTCTTATCTACTTGCCTACCCGCTTCCTGCATATAGTTCATCTGTCATAGTTCTTGGGCTCTGGCTCTCTTTTTCCAGAAGAGAGAATCTAACTATGCAAATATGAGCGCCTCACGGCAGCCTTCTGAATAAGCAGCCCATCCTCCTGTTTAAAATTAGTACTTATAGTAACGATGAGGCCCATGGGACATATATGACGTAATGGACAATTACACAATATAAATCGTTACTATTGAATTTGAACAAACCGGAAAAGTTTTTGTATTTGTTGGAAACACAACCTAACCTAACCTTCCCTAGGCCTACTGCACGCTGAAGTTTAATATAGTACACATATGTGCTATACTAGGCCTATGAATATTAGTTTTTTTAGATTTATTTTTTCGAGGACCAAATTCTACTACAGTATCTTTTGTGCCTTTGCGCACATAGTTGTGACTGGACCTGGATTGTACCTGGAGTGGGTTCCGAGAGTTCTTCTACTCACAGAGCCCCGGCCTGAGGGCCAGGCTCGACTTGTGAGAGCTTGGTCCAATAGGCTGTTACTTGAAGCGGCCCACAAGCTCTCACATATCCACTACAGCCTGGTTGGACCGGCAACCAAGTTACAAAAAGTACTCGGGGTGGGGGGGGGGGGAGGGGGTAGAAATAGCCTAGGCTACTCTATCCCTTTGAGATTTCTTTCTTGTCTCAATAAACATACTTGAACTTGAACTTGACCGGAAAGTACTGTCTAAACAGGAGGATGAATTGTAAATAAGACAGAGGCTCGACCCCCCCCACCCCCCCACACACACACTCTTTCCCCGATCTTTTAAGTGTCTTAAGAAAATTGTGATCCATCAGACGCATTCAAACACTTCACGATAACACTAATTTGCCACTTTTTTTTTTAAGTGAGAAAACAAATTGAAAATAATTTATTAATATTAACATTGCAACAAAAATATGAAATTCTGTATTTACATTTACACCATGAAAATGGCGGCCCCTTTCAACACATGTGTCCGAAGACAATATAATTGATAAACAGGTGTACAGACAGATAAGAAATAAAAGATGGAGGGGAGACAAAAAATGGAAGAGGGAGGGGAAGGGGGGGGGGGGAAGGGGGAGGGAAGGGGGGGAGGTAAGATAATCAGACATTCACAGATAGTGAAGAAAATACATAACCAACGAATCATTTGGCTAACGCCATTAACGGTAATGACAACTGTTAATTACCCCCCCCCCAAAAAAAAAGAACGGCGGCCAAATGAAATTCAAATTTAAATTTCAAATCTCTTTCTGGTCACCCCTACCCCCCATCCACCCCTTTCCCTTGAGAGATCTGGGGGGCACCTGGAGAGGGTTCTGGGAGGGCTTCTACTCCCAGAGCCCCAGCCTGAGGCCAGGCTGGTCTTGTGATAACTTGGTCCAACAGGCTGTTGCTTGGAGCGGCCTGCAAGCCCACATATCCACTACAGCCTGGTTGGTCCGGCACTTCTTACAAGAACTTATCTAAGTGCCTCTTGAATACATTCACCTTTGTTCCAGCAATATTTATAATGATTTCTGGAAGAGTGTTGAACAGCTGTGGACCTCAGATGTTCAGAAAGTGTTCTCTGATTGTGCCTATGGCACCTCTACTCTTCACTGGTTCTATTCTGCATTTCCTTCCGTACCTTTCACTCCAGTATGTTGTTATTGTACTGTGCAAATTTGGGACCTGGCCTTCAATTATCTTCCATATATATATTATTTGATACCTCTCTCGTCTCCTTTCCAGAGAGTACATTTTGAGAGCTTTGAGACGGTCCCAATAATTTAGATGTTTTATCGTGTCTATGCGTGCCATATATGTTCTCTGTGTTCCCTCTAATTCAGATATCTCTCCCGTTCTGGAAGGTGAAGTGAATACCGAGCAGTACTCAAGACGGGACAGCACCAGTGATTTAAACAGTATTATCATCGCTGTGGAGGTCTCTGGATTTGAACGTTCTCATAATCCATCCTATCATTTTCCTGGCCGCCGCTATTATTGGTCGGTTATGTTCACTAAATGTCAGGTCGTCAGACATCATAATTCTCAAATCTTTTACATGTTTCTATCCTTCTATGAGTAGGTTTGATTGTGGCCTATACCCTGTGTGTCGTTTAACTTCCTCGTTTCCACCATACCTCAGTACCTGGAACTTGACATCGTTAAACACCAGAGAACGGGTCGCTATCCCCATGCTGCTGGGAGATACCTACATCCCCCTACTCTCTCTCTCTCTCTCTCTCTCTCTCTCTCTCTCTCTCTCTCTCTCTCTCTCTCTCTCTCTCTCTTCTCCACCCTCCCTGGAGGGTAGAGAAGGGTGAGGAGCGGTTCTCTCCCTCGCCTGACAAAGCCTCCGTCTGCCCTCTCTTCACCTCAGGTTAATTAAAGTCATTTATTCTCGGCGTCGCTTGTGAGTGTCGCTAGATGTGAGGTGTGAGGTGTGAGGGAACGAGGTGTGAGGGAACGTAAGGGGTGTGAGGGAACGTGGTGTGAGGGAACGTGGTGTGAGGGAACGTGGTGTGAGGGAACGTGGTGTGAGGGAACGTGGTGTGAGGGAACGTGGTGTGAGGGAACGTGGTGTGAGGGAACGTGGTGTGAGGGAACGTGGTGTGAGGGAACGTGGTGTGAGGGAACGTGGTGTAAGGGAACGTGGTGTAAGGGAACGTGGTGTGAGGGAACGTGGTGTGAGGGAACGTGGTGTGAGGGGAGGGGGGGGAGAGATGAAAGGTCTAAGTGCAGGAAGAAGTGGTGGAGATGAGGTCTACCTCCTACACACTGAATATATATATATATATATATATATATATATATATATATATATATATATATATATATATATATATATATATATATATATAGGGGGGTGACGGGGGCAGAAGACAATATCTGAACACTTATTAAAACAGATAACTTATAACAGCTTATAAAAGCCTGTTATAAAACCTTATAAAGAAAAGCTAGACAGAACACGAGGCTGAAAATATGTCTCGTTAGATTAAGGAACGTTATCCATATTCTTTCCCAATACTGACGACGGTCTTCATGCAGGTCCGCGTTCAATCCCCGACCGTCCAAGTGGTTGGGCACCATTCCTCTTCCCCCCCCCCCCCGTCTCATCCCAAATCCTCATCCTGACCCCCTTCCAAATGCTATATAGTCGTAATGGCTTAGCGCTTTCTCCTCATAGTTCCCCCCCCCAATACCTGACCCTTTCCGGTGCTTTGTCAATAACAAAAATAATTTCCTGACAGACCCTGGGAGCCGGTCGGCCGAGCGGACAGCACGCTGGACTTGTGATCCTGTGGTCCTGGGTTCGATCCCAGGCGCCGGCGAGAAACAATGGGCAGAGTTTCTTTCACTCTATGCCCCTATTACCTAGCAGTAAAATAGGAACCTGGGTGTTAGTCGGCTGTCACGGGCTGCTTCCTTGGGGTGGAGGCCTGGTCGAGGACCGGGCCGCGGGGACACTAAAGAGCCCCGAAATCATCTCAAGATAACCTCAAGATAACTAACCCCCGTCCAAAATATTGGAAGAACGAGGCGAATTAAACGAACTCAACCCCAGAAACGCCACCATGACAACAGCTCCAATTCCACATTCCAGGGAGATCTTTTTTAAGCAAGAGAAAGAGGAGAAGAATGGTTAGAAACGGCAAGATTCCTCGGTCAAAATGCTTGACAGGACACAGCCCAGTTGGCCCCCTTCCCCAACCAGAACGACAGATGTTGACGGGGGAGA